TCATTTTACGAGGTGCCAGATTGCTCAGCTTCCCAGCCAGCTCAAAGATGGTTTATAGCTCAGAGCTTCCTGCTGTGCCCTGGCCTGCCTGTGACACTTCCAACACACACACACCGACCAAATGGCACTGTGACTCTCAGAGAGGGAGGGGGAGAATGAAGAGAGATATGTTTGTACAAGATGGATGATCCTTTGCCAAGATGGAGGTTGGAGCCAAAATGGTTGAACCGTGTCCATCTCTGTGTGCATGATTGCTACACCATTAACATCTGATTACATCATTGTCTGCAGCTATCTCCTGAAGATTTTCAGCACTGTGTTTCACAATCCATCCTATGTTTCATGTATGGCTGATGATGGATAAATAGACTTGTCTTACTCCACTTCTTCACCTCTTTGACTCAGACCTGGTGGGTGGGGAAAAAAGTATCAGGAGTGTGGCTTAAGAGGAGAATTTTGAGGTCATTCACATTCCTCTCCACCTGTTGAGCTAGTGTGTAGTGTCTCTCATCTGCCCATCCTGCACTGCTTTCTCCATTGAGCATAAAACATCCTTATATTACAGGCACCAGATTTACCAGAAGAGCACCTTGAGCGGCACTATGAGTGGGTACAGGGTATTGTGAGCCCTGCTCCTAATAGCTGTACTTCTTTTGCATGTAACCCATTGAAAGCCTGTTCTGCTGCTCCGTTGCTCTTGACAAGCCCTCAGAGATTTTCTTCTGCTACTGCTACCTTGTCTGCTCCACTTCTCAGAACTGTCACTTCTCCCCCACCAGCAGCACAATCTGCTCGGAGCTCTGCAATCGCCTGCAGTGACTACAGTGTCCAAACCTTAAAGGAAACGAAAGTCTTTCTCAACCCACACAATTGTTGAAACCTGCCATAGTTCAGACAGATCTTGTGGCAGTCCCTAGCCTAGCCGAAGTCCAGCCCAGCCTGACCCACTGCCTGCTACTCCAGTTTCAACCTGATCTGGTGCCTGCTGTTCCAATCCAGCCGATCCAATGCCTGCTATCCCAGCCTAACCTGCCTCCAATGGTCCTGAGCCTGCTGCCCAGCCTGCAGTTGCTGATCCAGTGCATGCTACATAACCAACCTCCGGTACTAGGGTTCATCTCTTGTCAACTTTTGGGTCTGATACCTGCAAGTCTCCACGTTTGTTGCATGTCTGGCATGAGTTCCTCATCTGGTCCACGTTTCCTACGGTCACTTTGTCTGAGTTACTTTTACAGCCATTTGCTTCTGTTGTTTCAAAGTCTTGTGGTCCAGACATCCACTCTGAATTTGATAATAGTACTTGCTATAGCACCTCCAGTAGTAGGGGTCTTCTGGGAAAGACAGAATTCCATTTGAACTGTGTTCTGACCTAGGCATTATCTCTGCAACTCAGTGTGCCTTAGGGTACTCAGTATGGGTAACCAATACCTTGAAAAGACCTGGGTAGTAACTCGGGTTTGGAATGTCCAGTGGTGAAGGGAAACCTATATTGGTTAAGGATTCCAGTGTTTCACATTCAGATCGTCTGTAAAGGATTTGACCTGCAGGGCACCCAGACAGTTTTCAGATCCTGGCAGCGGGGCATCTAGCCTGGGCCTGTGTAAGGATTTTTGTCTACACAGGCAAATGTGCATTTTGTCTCCACCCAGGCAACCCCCCCCCCATATGTTATACATGTTATTTGCACTCCATTAGTATCTCCTTCATGCTGTGCCTGTAATGTGATGGGGCACAGAGTGAAGGACGTCACACAGCATTGAAAATTTCAACTGTGCTGAACTGCCACTAAATGGCACTGTGTCATAAGGGGGCAGGGTTATGCATCCCCTCACTGGCTAGAGCAGTTGGCAGGTGAGGCAAACTAATACTTCCATGCTACCCCTGATAGGAGAGAGGGGGTAGTGTTAGGGAATGGAAGATGGGTATTTTAAAAATCTGAATCCCTGGGGGCATGTCCAAGATGGTGCTGAGTGAGGTTGCATACCTCACAACTTTTGAAGTTGGGAATGAAGGACACTTTGGAGGGACCTAGACCTGCAGCAATGAAAAGTGGGTGTGGTTAAATTATGAGATCATGAAGGAAATTATCCGGCACACCTTGAGTGCCTCCACCGCTACCTCTTCAGAGGCAGCAGCTAGGGGTGTACACGAGCTGTGGCCACAATGCTTTGCTTCACAGCCCATGGCATGAATTATACCCCCTGTCGAATGCAACCTACTCCACTGAATGGTGTTGATCCGCAAGCACCCTGCAATTGCCTGCAATGCACACGGTTATGGCATGCTAGCGCGTGGTTGAAGGGGTTAAAGCAGGCGGCGAGGAGGCGATATGCCTCTTTATCGCCAGTCAAATGCTCTCTGAAAAGCAATCTAAATGCTGAGCGCTCTTCAGAGACCAAAGTGTGAGCAATCCTTTAATTATTTATTTTTAATTTTTTTTTTTTTTTTACAGTTTTCAGAATTTTATTTATTTAATTTCATTTTAAACTGTGACTACAGTTAACAAAAAAAATTTTTGAATCCCCAGCAAGTGGCTGGGGATCTGAATTTTAACACCACTCGGCCCTCCCCCCCCCCCCATCTTGGTGCCCTAAGACAGCTGCTTAAGCTGCCTGTTTTCTGGTGCTGGCCCTGCACCTATCCAGTTGTCAGACCCTGATGGTGAGGTATCCTGCAGGTTGAAGGACTATAGGTTATGTATTGGTACTAGTGTCCTTAAAAGGTTTAACTTGCCTGTGAGAGAGGGTTGAAAAAGGGCAGAAAGCAATCAGGAGGTGTCTGTAAGGTGTGACAGGCTTGTGTGGCAGAGCTATAGGCTGTCCATCGGTGAGACATTGCTGGCTGTGGTATCCTTTTTCTGTGGTTCCCTCCCCCCCCCCCCCCCCCCCCCCCCCCCCCCCCCCCCCCCCCCCCCCCCGAGAAGGTTGGTACTGGTTTCACTGGCAGTAAGCCAAAGTTTTCTTTTGATCCAGATTTATGGACTGTTTGTGTTTTGTATGCTGGCGGCAAGCTATTTTTGTTTAGTTATTTAAAAAAAAATAAAGGACACTGCTTTTGCAAAGTCAGCTGCCTGGTTATCTGAAACAAAAAACCATGCACTTTTTGGCAACCTTCTGTTTCTTTTTCTCTAGTTGAGGATCACTAAACTCTTGGGAGTACGTACACATATTCTGAATCGCCAGAACAAAGTCCATGGGCATTGAGTGGATTTATATATAGTTGATAATGAAAACAGCTTCACCTCTGGGGTTTCAAGATGTGCTGAATGGCTTACAGATAGCGATAACTGAGATCTTTTGAGGATGTTGGCAGCAGTATAAAACCCGGGCATAACTTAAAAACGGAGAATCAGTAAATTGTCTGTAAAGGATTTCATTATTCTAGGTCATTATATATTTAGTAGCAGTGAGTCATATTCAACTGGACTTATTCTGTTTTGTTGAAAACGTTTTACCACTCATCAAAGCGACTGTCTTAAGTTCAAATGTGCAGAACATATCCCAGCATTTATAGCCACTAGTGATGGCCTTGATGTTCGAGTCGAATGTAAGTTTGACTCGAACATCGGCCGTTTGTGTGTTCAGCATACACAGGAATGGTAATGGCGTTTGGTGGGCTGTTCACCTGTCGTACCCCACAGTGCACTGCACATTCACAGTGCATTGTGATTGGCCAAAGCAATGCACCTGACCATTTGTTTACTTCTGACCGGTAACTGTCAGACCTGTCACATTGTGGCGAGTGCAAGAAGTTTGCAGACAGGTCAGTGGGCATTGTTTTTTTTTTTTTTAATTTCAGCAAGTGGTCATCATCATGACTATGCTGGATGCCATGACTGACGATGGGTTACAACAATGAAGCCTTTTTTTCGGCTTTTTTTTAAAATAAAGGGCTTGTCAAAAACTTGTTTTGGTGTGTTTATTTTTTTACAATTTAACTCTTTAGTGAATGGGTAGGGAAACAAATACCCCTTACTCAGTCACAAGAAGGGGGGAAGAATTGGGGTGCCTTATTATTTAATGGGGTACCTTGATGCTAATGAGCTTCCCTGCCCACAGACTCCCAAAACCACTGGGCCAGGGTTGTGGGGAAGAGGCCCTTGTCCCCATTGGCATGGGGACACCGTCCCCATGCTGAGGGCATGTGGCCTGGTAAGCCACAGGGAGGGGGGTTGCTCGTTTGTCCCCCCCCCCCTTTCCTTGCCTACTAGGTATGTGCTCGGATCAAGGGTCAGGTAGGAATTTAGGGGGGACCCCACATTTTTGTCCCTCATTTTTTTGGGGGTGGGTTTCCCATTAAACGTCCTACAAGGCCTAAAGGGCCTGGTATGGCTCTTAGGGGGAACCCCAAGCACTTTTTTTTTTTATTTCTTACTGGCTTCATACTGGCTAATAGCCACATGGGTAATTCAATAACCTGGTAATATGGAATGTGTCAAAATGTATTTTTCAAGAACAGGTGTGAATGTTTGTGAAAGGACCTCCTACCAATTTACTTAATCGAACCACCATTTTGCAATAAAATCTAAAACAGAATTCAAGTGCTTGAGTTACGCGGCTGAAGATTTGTCCAATAGCCACATAAAGATTACCGTATTTTCCGGCGTATAAGACAACTTTTTTTACTTAAAAACATACCCCAACAATTGGGGGTCGTCTTATACGCCGGGTATAGAACCGCTGGATGTGCGGTAATACTGTACAGTAGCTTCAGCTACATACAGTGTACTGCGCTGAGCCAATCACGGCGAGCGATGTATTCTATTAATGAATACAGAGCCTGCTCGGATTGGCTGAAGTTGTGACATCATCAGCCCGCCTCTCTGACGCAGCCAATCCGAGCAGGCTCTGTATTCATTAATAGAATACATCACTTGCCGTGATTGGCTCATATGACGTCCTCCCATTCTCCGCGCATGCGCAGCGATGTGCTGTGTCCCTCGGACACAGCGGATCACCAATCGCGGAAAGAGCCGAAGATGTCGGCTCGGTCATGTGATCAGCTGTGTCCAATCACAGCTGATCACATGTAAACAGGGAAATGCCGGTTATCGGCATTTCTCTCCTCTCGAGCTGTCACGCTGATCAGTGTGCCCTGATGATCAGTGTAGCCCCAGCAGTGCCAGCTGTCAGTGTCCATCAGTGCCACATCAATGCCATATATCAATGCCCATCTGAGCTGCCTTTCCGTGTCACCCATCAGAGCCAGTCAGTGCCACCTATCAATGCCAATCAGTTCCACCTATTAGTACCAGTCAGTGCCGCCTATCAGTGCCATGTATCAGTGCTGCCTTTCAGTGCCCATCAGTGATGCCTGTCAATGCCCATCAGTGCCATCTATCAGTGCTGCCAATCAGTGCCGCCTATCAGTGCCAGTCAGTGCCGCCTATCAGTGCCAGTCAGTGCCACCTAACAGTGCCAGTCAGTGCCACCTAACAGTGCCATATATCAGTGCCATGTACCAGTGCTGCCTTTCAGTGCCCATCAGTGATGCCTATCAATGCCCATCAGTGCCACCTACCAGTGCCTCCTCATCAGTGCCCATCAGTGCCACCTATTTCATATGGGTACAGTGTTGTATGACCGCGCAATTGTCATTCAAAGTGTGACAGCGCTGAAAGCTGAAAATTGGCCTGGGGGGGAAGTGGGTATAAGTGCCCTGTAGGCTAGGGGTTAAATGGTGTTGCCTCAGAAGGGGGGTAGTCTTATACGACGAGTATAGCCCAAAACCTATGTTTTAACTGGAAAATTAGGGGGTCATCTTATACACCCAGTCGCCTTATACGCCGGAAAATACGGTACATTATATATGAGTAAGAATTTATGCTGAAGGCCCCCAGCCCTCTCTAGGGATGGTTGTTCCAGGTAGATGTAGATGGCCCCCTAGGCTCGCACAGGAGAAAGCCACCATGTAACACACTTGGTGAGAAGTCTAGGTGCCGCCACAAAGACATGTATTTAGAAATACAGCAAAGCAGATTACATTCCTTGCAAAATTCCTTCCACAAATTAAAGGAGTCATAAAAAATGTATTTTGCAAACATACCAATGACCATGCTTCAACTACTGTCTTTCAACTGGCCATTAGTGCACCACTGGTCTCATTGAGTTTTGATGCAGTTTGGCCAAGGGGCTTCGTTTCTTTGCATACAAAATTTATAACTGTGTTTTGGAAGCTAAGCATCTTCAAAAGATAGGCTTTACCCCTAAGAATGATTGAGAATTGGTTTTGCAATTGGCTGATTATGGACATTCGTTAAGGATAACTGGAATACACTCTCAATATTATTCCCAGGATATTTGATATATAATAAAGAAAAAGGATACCATTAACCTAAGAATTGAGACTTAAAAGTATCAGATAAGAATTATTTTTGATGCATGTGCTCTTATGACAATAAATGGTATTTCACCATTACAGTTTTCTTCCTTTCTTTGAACCTTATCATTACATGTTGTAATATTTCAAATGTCAGTGTGTTCCTGGTGGCCATATTATATGACTAGGACCCATTTTTTTTAATATGCCATTCACTTAGGGCGATTTTCTGTCTATATGCTGGTAATAGAAATCACACAGTTTAAAAGACTTGATGCGCTTTAGGGAATATTCTTTGGATCGTCTTGAAGAGAGTTTTTTGTCTGTATTTTACACATTAGGACTGTTCATTTACTGTACATATTGAACATTTTTGGATATTTATATATTTGTTTACATAGTACATTTTTGTGTATACTATATTTGATATATTAGTTAGAAGGTAGCAGCTTATATTTAGTAGTGGAAGGTAGTACAGTACTTGTATATTACTTTTAAATGGATTCTGATCCCACCTGGGACTCAATGTCCCTATAAATAATTTACCCTAAGAAAGATTTATTTAATTTACAGTTGATAGATGAGTGGCAGACACACATGCTAAACCCCCAGATCCCGTACAGCTGTTAAAATGTATTTTCTATCTATTCCATATAATATCCATTAGAATTTAGGGCCTTTTAGTAAGATCAGACTATATAACTCTATCTCCTACTTCAGATATATGCAAGTGCACTCTGCAAGTTCAGTTTCCCCAGAGCTTAGTAAATGAACAGAAGCTCTGCTGACTTCCATCATCCAATCGTGTGCAAGCAAAAAAAGGTGTTTTTTATTTTCCTTGCATTGGGTTTTCTTGGCAAAGGGAAGCTTTACCTCATTCACTAAGCTTTGGAGCAACTGCACCTGCAGAGCGCAACTGCACTTTGCAAAGTGCACATTCTAGTTGCCTTTAGTAAATCAACCCCATAGAATAACCTGTTACAAAACCAACTCCATACCATATTCAATTTTATTTATCTTTGCTTTTAATGGTTCTCCTCTTCCCAGTAAGTGGACAATGTTAAAATATGCTATATTTTTTTCCTTGTGGAAAACATGATAAACAAAAATGGTAACAGACTAATAGTAGTCATGCTCATATTCAACGAGCAACGAACATGAAAACAAATTGACCAACAAAAAGAGTATCTACTGCACACAAAGTTCAAAAGTTACTCAACCCTGCAATGTAAAAAGCATAGCCAACCATGCTTTTTAGAATTGAAGCACAGTTTCTGCAATATAATACTTATATCTTGTTTCACAAATCCTCTTAAGTGAGGAAGTCTCCAGCTCAACACAGAATCGAATTGGCTCAAGGCATACTTTACAGATTTCTGTAATATTCTTGGACACTATGGGGTTGATTAACTAAATGCAAATAAACTGTTCACTTGCAAGGTAAGTTGCACTATGCAAGGGAATTTTTCCCATCGCTTAGTAAATGCGATTCAAATTCACTTTGCAAAGAATACCCAATCACGTGCAAGGAAAAACAATGTTCCTGCTTATACATGATTGGATGATAGAAGTCAGCAGAGCTCCACCCCATTAACTAAGCTCTGAGGAAAATGCCTTTGCAAAGTGCACCTGCTTTTACTAAATGTTTATTTGTCTTTAGTCAATCAACCCCTGTGCAGATAGACTTTACCCCATTGGACAGCAAAAACATTCATAAACTAAATGAACTGCACTGCACAGTGATGCCCTTAAAAATGAATGCACTTATGAAGAGTTACCTGAGGCTGTGACATCTTCATCTTAAGGTAAAATTCAGAACCCAATGATCTCAATTTATTAGACATTTCACATTAAGCTAACACATTAACCCATGATTAAAGATGAATTCCAGGTATATATAGTTTTATTGGCCTTGTAAGGACCAATGTATCTATGCATACACAATACCCGCGGGATCCCCCTGGAAACTGTATATCACTGTAGTAACTTGACAACCAGCAACAACTGGGCTTCAAGTGGTTATACCGGGTTGATGCCTGCAGTTACAGGCATCATCCTGGTATTGTTTCTTTCAGTCGGAATTCGGCTTGTTGTAAAAGCAATCCTAGCAGCTGATTAGCTGCTGGATTGCTTTTACAAACAGCGGGAGGGGGTGTTCCCCCTCACACCACCTTCCGAGGCTCTCTCAGGGTCCCACCATGAGACCCGAGATACCAGCTGGCAGATCCACCAGCTGACCATACAGGTAATCAGACAATGGAACGCCTCTGTTCATCTCTATGGTATAGGAAAGCAGAAACAATGAGCATTCATGACTTCTGGTTTTGCCAGATAAAGAGAACCTGTCACTGACTATTGCTATCACAAGGTAAATTTATATTCCCTATTGTTAAACAAAAAAAATGTTTTACGTGCCTCTGCTCCCTATGCAGGTACAATATTTGGGTATTATATTGTGGTTTTGTGCATTAAAATTCAAAACAAGTGCATTTTTTCAAAACAAAACCGTGTTTGAAAAACCGCTGCACAAATACTGTATGACATAAACACCCACCATTTTATTCTCTAGGCATCTGCTTGAAAAATATGTAATGTTTGGGGGTTCTAAGTAATTTTATAGCACAAAATACTGATTTTTACATGTAAACAAAAAGTGTTAGAAAAGGCTTGGTCTTCAAGTGGGTAGAATGCTCCTCTACTACAGTGATCTCTTCTAGCTTCTGGGTCCTTTGGTGTGCTGCTACCCTGCTGCTGTGTTACCACAGGAGGTCACCCACTTGACATGGATGCCATCCATAGATTGTTTTGCATCGTCTCAGTGAATGCAAAACATTCTCTAATTGGATGAGCTGGAGGGGTGTGGCAGTGATGTCATGATCTCTCCAAACAGAGAAGGCTTTGTATTCATTATGAAAATTCAAAGCATTCCCTGTACGGTGCGTTCTTTTTTGTGACACCCTATTAAAGTTCCTCGTGTTAAGAAAAATGCAAGTGAGTTTGGAACAGTGGTATGGTGATAACATTTTGTATGAAACTGGGTAAATGTGCATCAGAAACTTTGGAAATGGTGAGGAAAGCTTATCGAGAAACTGCGTTATCATCAGCACAAGTGTACCAATGGCACAAGGCCTTCAACGAAGGATGAGAAGGTATTGAAGACGAGCAATGATCTGGACACCCCTATTCATCAAAAACGGAACAGAATGTGGATGCAGTGAGGTCTGTTCTCAACCGTGACCGTGACCAATGGCTCACTATCAGAATGATTGCAGAGGAAACAGGAATTACCAAGTTAATTGTTCATGGAACTGTGACTCATGATTTGAACATTTGAAATGTGTGTGCAAAACTTGTTCCAAATAACATGTCACCTGATCAAAAGGAACACCTTCAACTCATTTGCCAAGACCCGTTGGCCCATTTGGAAAGAGAGCCTGATTTTTTGAGTTGAGTGATCACGGGAGTTGAATCCTGGGAGTATGGTCCCTAGATGAAGAAACAAAGTTCATAATGGCACACACCCACATCACCTCGCCCGAGAAAGCTCGAATAAGCAAATCAAAAGTAAAATCAATGGTCATGGTTTTTTTATTTTACGTGGAATTGTCCATAAGGAATTTGTACCTACTGGTCAAACTGTGAATCAAAGATTTAACCTGGAAGTTATTGGTTACTTGAGACAAAGAGTTTTTTGTGTGCATCCTGAGATCAGCTCAACTTGGATCCTTCATCACGACAAGGCGCTTTTTGACTGACAAACACATCACAGTGCTTCCCCATCCACCCTACAGCCCCAACTTGGCTCCTTGTGAATTTTTCATATTCCCAAAGATTGAGAAGGGTTTAAAAGGACCTTTCCTCCTGTACTGCAATAATGAGAGCTGTCATTTCCTTATATTTGAATAGAATGTGACGAGGTTGGAAATATTGTCAGGTTTTCATTGTTGTCTGTATGCTTATTCGGGGAG